GCACAACTTACCATAAGAGTTCATAGCAATAGAGTGACCACCTTGGGGGAGCTGGGTAACACGTATTGTCCTGACACCCTCAGTGTAAAGTGGACCCTACTTTCTAATAGCCCCACTTTTCCCTAAGTTTCTTTGTCTTACATTGTGATCTGAATGGCTGACCTGCTGCACCATCAGATCTCTGCCTTAAGAACAACAATGCCAATGGCTAGGAAAATAATAGTTCAGGAGGTAAGAAGTTTGCCTTGCATGCAGCCAACCCCACTTCCATCCCTGGTACTGCATAGGGTTCCCCAAGTACTGCTATGGACTGCTTCTGAGCATAGACTCAGGATAACTACCCCTCAAAGAACAATAATGCCATTAAGTGAACAATTAGAAGTTGTGCTTCCAATAACAAAAGGATAAAGTCCTGGGGCTGGCGAGATAGTACTGCGGGTAGATAATTTGCTCTGCACACAGCTGACCTGGGGTTTATCCAGCACCCCATAAGTTCCCCAGAGTCCTCTCTGAGTGATCCCTGAGTGAAAATCCAGAAGTGAGCCCTGAGCAAGACCAAGTGTGGCCCCCAAACAAAAAATAAACAAAAAAGATGAAGGTCCCCAAACTCCAGTACTTGACTTTTGACAAAACTAATGTCAAACTTCCATGATGCCTCTATGGAAAAGGTGGTAGATATTCCTCACCCCCTCACCCCTACACTACCTAAAGGAAGAATTTCACCTGCATTTAGTTGGCAAAATTCTAATGTCCTGTATTCTAGTATTGAGTATAGTCTTATGTTTTAAATAACAACAGAAAAGGAGGCTGGGGGAAACAGAACCATTTCCATCAATCCTCCAATTCTATTTTAAGGGGAATAATATAATAATCCATACAAACAGGAATGGCTCTGTAAGTTTCAGATAACTATGCTTTTATAGTGTTGTTAGTGACCCACAGGAACATGTGACTTTTGTTATACATTGTAGTTACTTCTGCAGCTGAAAGTGTGTGGACATTACACTTCTGGAGGGCTTAGAGCAAATGTCCAAGCACATGTAGCCACTTTTGAGGCTACCTTTCTTCTTATTTCCATGTGATAGGAAATAGGACTTAGGGTCGACATAGCCTTTAAGTAAATCAGAACAGTTAATGAAAGACACAGTTAGATAAACACCCCAAGGTGAGCTCAGGCTTAAAATACAACTAAAGTAAATGCAAAGAAAACCCGGACAGTTCTTTCCTTCATTACTGACCCACTCCCCTTGCCTTCCGATCTTGGGCAGCATAACAGATACACCTCTAATGGCAAGGGTTGCAAATTGAGCACAGGGAACTTCTAGGACCCTCCTCAGATGGTTCTCATTGCTCCAGGGCAATGCGGGCCCCAGAACTCACTTCAAAGGCTTGAGGCCACATCTTCTCCTTGATGTACTTGATGCACTCATCAGACAGCTTCTGGAAGTACTTTCTCTGTTTCTCATCCAGCAAGCCAACATGGTACAGGAATGTTGCATAGCCTTTTATGATCTATGGAGAAAAAGAGACAAACAAATGCCACGGGGCAGAAAGAGTTAGAGAAACCCATTTGCTTGGGGGAATCACCCTTTGTAATTTGTCACACTTGTGTTGACATTTACAAAGCATGACAATCACACACTCATACCACACAATACACAACAGCACATAAAGTACACACAGATACAGAGACACACAGACACACACAAGCACACACAGATACATACACACACAAACATACACACACACACACATCACGCATGCCCCTTATGCTCATAGCCATCCAAGGTTGACACAGTAAGCTGACACCTTAAAACATTTGGTAGAAATTACAAGACTTAAATCCTTAGAAAGTCAACTGGGCAAAAGTATTTCTCTTTGTCCACTTAGGTCTCAAAGGTAAGAGGAAACTTTCATTTGGTCCAAAGATATGTAGTTTCCTTAAGGAGCAAATGGAAAGGAAAAATGAGACACCTACAGATTCAGGTTCAAAATATGCATCTCCAATGGCAATTCCTTTCAGGTTGATCTTCATCTCTGACTTGGGGTTGAGGATGTGGATATAGTGAGCAATGGCTGGCACGTATTTCCCTGCATAAGACTGAGAAGGGTAAAAGGCAAATGTCAACCATCTTAGAAGGACTAATTAATACCAATTAGGATTTTAAAAAACAACAAACAGCCATATTCCACAGGAGGCAGGCCATGTATTCTTTGCCCCACAGTGTAAATTTCACAATAGTAAAGGCACTCTCACTCCTTACAGTATTCCGCAGAATACCAAGGGACATGCAGGTCAGGGGCTGGGTGGACAAAAAGCTAAGTGAAGATTCTGACTTCCTTTCACAATAAAATATTATGGACCATTGAGCATAATCCTGCCATCCATAGAATTTGTCTTACCATAAAGTTCCATTAAAAGCTTATAAAATAACTCGAGAGGCTAGAGAGATAGTACAGTAGGGTAGGTGCTTGCTTTGCACACAGCCAACCCAGGGTGATCCTTGCATCTCATATGGTTCCTCGAGCACTGCTGAAAGTGATCCTTGAGTGTAGTCAGGAGAAAATTCTGAGGACCACTGGCCATGGGCCCCAAACAAAACTAAATAAAACAGTTTAAGTCCAAAATGAAGATTTAGTTGTAAAATGATACAAAATTTAAAATCAATACATCTTAAAGGAAGACAATAATAATACTGAGTGGCCTCTGAAATGATCATTTGAAATGATCCATTTCATTATTTTATGCCACCAGGTTTTATATTTCAATTTCCTGAAATCCCTATCCACAGCATGATAATAATAATTTATTTCTTGACTATGAAAATATTGGTTTAAAATAGTTTTGTATTTTTTTCCATCAAAAATGTGCCCTCTCAATATCTTCTCTTGTATAACTTACAGAATCTTGTTATGTTCAGAGTAAAATTCTCAGTCTCTGAGATCTGTCTACATCTTCCATTCAATACTTATTCTTCTAGGTGTTCAGGCCAAAAGTGTTGGTGCCATTCTTTATATCTTTTTTTCTCTCCAACTCCACAAATGTGCATCAGCTACTCTTGTCAATGCTGCCAATTCTAACAGAATTTGTCTGAAATTCAGTGTCTTCTCACACACCTACTTCATTATCTTGCTCCCAGTCAACCTCTTTTCTCACCTGAACCATTGCCACAGTCACCAATCTGGCCTTCTGTGCTTTCTCTTATCCCCCATCCTCCACCCAAAGTCTGTTTTTAAGACTTTTTTAAGTTTTAAGTTCCTTAAAACCTGAAGGAAATCATTTCAGTCCTTGGCTTAAGCTTTTAATCACTTCTTGTCTCAGAGCAAAAATCAAAGTGCTCGGTTTTCTCCCCTGATCTGCGTGGGACTGGAACGGAGGCCCAGCTCTTGGCAACAAAGCTGAACGTCTCCTATTCCAACCAGGTACATCCCGCCCCCAGGGCCTGGGACTCTCTCTGGGCATATGCAGCTAGCTCCATCTCCTAGAAAGCCAGTTTTCTCCCCTGATCTGCGCGGGACTGGAACGGAGGCCCAGCTCTCGGCAACAAAGCCGAATGTCTCCTATTCCAAACAGGTACAGCCTGCCCCCAGGGCCTGGGACTCTCTCTGGGCATGCGCAGCTAGTTCCATCTCCTAGAAAGCCGGTTTTCTCCCCTGATCTGCGCGGGATGGGAATGGAGGCCCAGCTCTTGGCAACAAAGCTGAACGTCTCCTCATTCCAACCAGGAGACGTTCCCAACTCCTCGCCCAGCGCCAGGAACTCTTTCCAGAGCCGCGGCTGCTAATGCGGCCGCAAAATATTCTCCCACTACAAATGCCATAGAAACCATAAGCTACCTTCTTAGATGGAAACTTCTCTAGTTTAGCTCAGCCACCAGAAACACAGTAGCCAATAACTCATAAGCCTATCTTAACTCACACTGCATATCAAGCAGAGTAGTAACAGTGACCGTGAAGGACTAAACCACATTTGTCACAATGGTAAAGCAACGGAAAAGCCCACCAAAATTTCTTATTGAAGAGTCTAGCCCAGATGACACCAACAGTACTGTAGTGTTATACAACCTCTCTGACAAGGAATTCAGAAGGGAGCTACTTAGGATGCTTAGGGAACTAAAAGAAACAATGGAAAGCAATGCCAATAGAAGACAAGAGGATTTGAAGGCAGAAATGAGGAAAATGCAATCAGAAATGTCAGACCTGAAAAATCTGGTAGGCGAATTGAAAAACTCAGTGGAAGGCCTCAGCAGCAGAGTAACAGCTGCTGAGAACAGAATCAGTGAGCTCAAAGATAAAGTTCAGAGACTCTCCAGAAAAGAGCAGAAAATGGAAAAGAGACTCACAATTCGGGAACAGATGGCAAGAAAAGATCGTGATGAAGCCAAGAGGGGTAACATAAGAATTATTGGAGTCCCAGAGGGACAGGAAGAAAACCTTGATGAAGAAGAAACTGTCAAAGACATCATTGCTACAACGTTTCCAGAGCTGAAGAAAACTTGTGACCACATTCAGGAGGCCCGAAGGGTACCAGCTAGAAGAAATCCGAATAAAAATACCCCAAGACACATCCTGATAAAAATGACCAAAACCTTAGACAGAGGCAAAATTCTGAAAGCAGCAAGATCGAAGAAAGAAATCTCTTACAAAGGAGCATCCTTAAAATTCACAGCTGATTTTTCTGATGAAACCCTCATGGCCTGAAAACAGTGGTGGGACATAGTGAAAAAACTCAATGAAATAAATACCTCTCCAAAAATACTTTACCCAGCGAGACTCTCATTCATAATCGAAGGAACAACACCAGTTTCACAGACAAACAACAGCTCAGGAACTTCATAGACTCAAAACCATGGTTATAAGAACAACTAAATGGGCTACTTTAAGGCAAGACAGGCCCCTCAAACACACCAAATTTCAACAGAACAATGGGACAAAATCCCATAACAATAATCTCTCTCAATGTCAATGGGCTAAACGCACCAATTAAAAGACATAGAGTGGCAGGATAGATTAGAAAATTGAACCCAACATTCTGCTGCCTGCAAGAAACACATCTCAATAGTCAAAGCAAACACAGACTCAGAGTCAAAGGCTGGAAAACAATCCTACAGGCAAACAGCTCCCATAAAAAAGCTGGGGGGTAGCCATCCTAATATCAGACCACATAGATTTCAGAGTGAAGAAGGTCATAAGAGACAGCGAAGGCCATTTATTATTGATCAAAGGATCTTTACAACAGGAAGAACTTACAATAATAAATGTATATGCACCTAATGAGAGACCAGCAAAGTACTTAAAACAACTACTCATAGATTTGGAAAAAGACATCAATAGCAACACAATATTAGTGGGAGACTTCAACATCGCTTTGTCACCGCTTGATAGATCAACCAGACTCAAGCTTAGCAAGGACATACTTCATCTGAGGGAAACAATGGAAGAAAGGGACTTAGTAGATATATACAGGAAACTTCATCCTCAAAAAGCTGAATACACACTCTTCTCAAGTGTACATGGAACATTCTCCAAGATAGACCACATGCTGAGCCACAAAACGTGCCTCCATAAAATTCAGAAGATAGAGATTGTATCAACAATTTTCTCAGACCATAATGCGCTAAAATTAGAAGTAAATCACACACAAAAACAGAAAACTAAATCAAACACCTGGAAATTAAACAGTGCGCTATTGAACAACGAGTGGCTTAGAAAGGAAATCAAAGAGGAAATCAAAAGATTCCTAGAAACGAATGAAAACGAGAACACGAGTTACCAAAACTTATGGGACACAGCAAAAACTGTGTTAAGAGGAAAATTTATAGCTCTACAAGCATTCCCCAGGAAGGAGGAGAAAGAAAACATAAATAACCTAACCTCACAGCTTAAGAGCTTGGAGAAGGACCAACAAAAGGAGCACAACCTGAACAGGAGAAAGGAAATGATAAACTCAGAGCAGAGATTAAGGAGATGGAAACCCAAAAAACAATCTGAAAGATCGAAGAAACCAAGAGCTGGTTCTTCGAGAAAATTAACAAGATCGATAAGCCTCTAGCAAAACTTACAAAGAAAGGGAGAGAGAAAACCCAAATAAACTGAATCAGAAATGAAAAGAGGGTCATTACAACAGAAACTACAGAAATTCAAAGGATCCTCAGGGAGTACTTTGAGAAGCTTTATGCCATGGAACATCAAAACCTCGAGGAAATGGATAAATTCCTAGACGCCTACAGACTTCCAAGGCTGAACCAAGAAGACCTGGAATACCTGAACAGACCTATCACCATCAAGGAAATTGAAATGGTAATAAAAAGTCTCCCCAAGCACAAAAGTCCTGGCCTGGATGGATTCACTAGTGAATTCTTCCAAATCTTTAAAGAGGACTTACTCCCAATCCTCTTTAAGCTTTTCCACGAAATTGAAATATCAAAACCACTTCTGAACAGTTTCTACGAAGCAAATATCACAGTGATACCAAAAGCAGACAGAGATACTACAAAGAAAGAGAATTACAGGCCGATATCCCTGATGAACACAGATGCAAAGATCCTCAACAAACTACTAGCAAATAAAATCCAACTACTCATCAAAAAGATCATACACCATGACCAAGTAGGATTCATCCCAGGGATGCAAGGATGATTTAAAAAGGTAAAGGCCCTCCCGTTGATCGTCGATTTGCTCGAGCGGGCCCAGTAACGTCTCCATTGGAGACTTTGTTGTTACTGTGTCTGGCATATCGAATATTCTCGGTAGCTTGCCGGCCTCTCCGAGAGGGGCGGAGGAATCGAACTCGGGTCGGCCATGTTGGCCGCGTGTAAGGTGAACGCCCTACCTGCTGTGCTATTGCTCCAGCCCAAGGATGATTTAACGTTCGGAAATCAATCAACATAATCCATCATATCAACAAAAGAAAAGATAAAAAGCATATGATTAGATCATACACCATGACCAAGTAGGATTCATCCCAGGAATGCAAGGATGATTTAACGTTCGGAAATCAATCAGCATAATCCATCATATCAACAAAAGAAAAGATAAAAAGCATACGATTATATCAATAGATGCAGAGAAAGCATTTGACAAGATCCAGCACCCCTTTAT